GAGAACCAGCCTACAAACTCAAATCACATATAGTCCCGGACCGGGAATCGAACCAGGACCACAGCGGTGATAGACCGGCGTTTTATCCGCTCGGCCATCCTTGCTCCCCTTTCAGTGGATACAAACACTAAAAATATGCCACATAAGTAATGTTCTATTCTAGAGCGGATTTCGTATGAGTGGGAAATGGACGGTACCGTACTGTGACTGTAATCGTACTGTAACCAAATTCTAGTGCCCCATTGGTTCACCAAAATTGTGCAGACCATGAGGTATGGTAACTGTGCGGTAACCGTGCGGTAACGGTGTACCACTCATACGAAATCCGTTCTAGTATTGTTTAGTCATACTATACAATGGCATACTAATAATAGTAWTCAGTAATATATATTAATCGATTTATCATATAATTATCTATGAAATACCTATATTTCTCCATTACGTAAAATTGATATTTTCACTAGTGAAAATAACACATTCGAGGTTTCTCTATATAGTGGAAGTAAGAAAAAAGATATTTTCCGACATAAGCTTGCTTTCATATTTAATTATATGATAAACAGAATATTACATGGTCRCTTTGAGATACGAATTTTATCTTCTCGTGTTAAAAATCTCTCACTCGTTCGCTACGCTCACTCGTGAGAGATCTTTTCAACACTCGAAGATAAAATCCATATCTCCGCGCGCCTATCTAATATCCTCTATATCAGAGATAATAATCCAATGAATGTAATCAGACCATATTGTACTAATAAATTGAGCCTGTCTGTCTGTTGGTTGGATTCCAAGTCTCTAATCAATCATGCCGCATTAGGCATGACCAAAAKTCTCTAGTACACCAATATGGCCAAGCTGACGTCATGTAAAGAATGGTGATGTTAGCGACGCCATTTTGAACGACAAAGCATTATGGGAAATCTTCACGCGCACTTTCCCTTCACGTAGAAATAATCACCGAAATATTTATTTATTTTTTCTTCAAAACGTCAGAATATTTTGAATTTTCTCAACATAAAGATCGAAAATAGATTTTGTAGACTATTTTGCTGAACATTTTCCCTTAAAAATTCCTGCAGGATYATTTTTGTCATCGTCAGACTTGGTAGGAATCTGAACTGTTGTTGAGTCCTTTATCTTGTAAATCTTGTAAATTAATGATTGGTTTTCGCGTTTCTCACAACAAATAATTGGGAACTTTTTACGCAAAAAGTCAATTCGAAGATGGGTTACCTGTGGTCTGACGTCACTAGTTCCAATGCTTTCTCAACTCAGCGAGGAACGCCTGATTACTTTTTCTGTGAACTTCTATCCTTTATCGTGGTGACCTATCGTGGTGATATCGATCCTTGACAAAATGCCATGTGATATCATCGAACTGCCCCCAAATCCCTTCACCAAGGCTTGTTTCTTGACGAGGTTTGTCACGTTCGGGTAAGTAACGCATCGTGATTTTTATACGATTTTTGTAACTTACGAAGCTAAGATAAAAAAAGGCCGACCCAAACATGCAGTTTTTCTGATGATGTTGCATAAACTTCCAGCTTCGCTCAATCTTTGTTCAATTTAGTAAACGAAAGGTTAAGACACAGCAAGATCTCTAGATCCCGTCACTTTTATGAATATCATTAAAATTCTAGGTGTCGTTCTTAAAGAAGCAGACATGCAAATTTCTATTGGTTATGCAACATGTGCATATTATCAAAAGCAATCGACTGTAAGACTCAACTGTCTGGCCCATGGAACCCCTGTGATTATAAGCGTTAGCACAAACAGACAATTTATAAATGGGTTATGTCTTAAAAATAAACATTACAATACAATACTATAAATTATTGTATGATAAATAGTAGATTATATGTAAAATATTGTAAAGTGCTGACACTAAATGTCCATGAAAGCATTCCTAAATAGTTACTAAACAAATTACTTAGTGACTACTAGTCACTATATTTCATTCAGCTGGAACAGCTATAACAATAGCAAATACACAAGGGAATGTTTTTATGTCTTAAAGGGACACTGTCAATGGTTGACATGCGCGAGTAAACTTGAAAACATTAGGCTAGCGTTTTCAAGTTTACGACTCCAAGTTGGCGCGACGCACGACAAAAAAGTACTCGTAAACGTAAACAGATCTAGAGTATTCCAAAGTGTGTCAAAACATTAATTTACCTCGAAGGTAATACTTTCAAAGTCTGTTAGAGGCAAGACTGTTACTGCAAGTGTCATCCATTGACAGTGTCCCTTTAATTTAAGGACAATGTTAGAGTCATTTTCATCCGTCTGTGAAACAATTACTACTA